CGCGGAGACGCGGTCGCGCCACTCAGGTTTGCGGAGCACGCGCTGGCCCGGAAGGCGGAAAAGCAACATGCGGGGAACCAGGAGCCAAAGAGCCCAAGCGTGGGAGAGAGCAACGGTCGTGGCCAGCATCCTCAATTGCTTCCAACGCAAGCCCAAAATCGAGCCGAAGCTGCCCCTTCGCAAAAGGGGGCGGGGATTGCAAAGCAAGGACCTTGCGGGACAAGCACTCGGACAAATCCACGGCATCAAGAGCCCGCAAGGCCGCTCGGATAGCGGCGCTGTGCAGAGGCGGGCGAGGCGCATCGTCCCCAATCAATTCAAGCCACGACGGCGGTCAAGTTTGCACTGGCCGCCTGCAAGTCAGCCAGCATTCGGACTGGACGCGCTCGGCCCCTTGGCTGATCCACAAGAACTTGGGCTAGGTCTGGGTCACGGGTTGCCTGGTTTTGTTGGGCTGTTCTTTGGGCTGCGCGGCGGGGGCCACGGACTGCATAGCTTGGAAGCGGGCCCAGTTTAAACAAGCCGTTGATTTCTATGACCCCTTCCCGGGGCCGGGCACCAAAAAAAACAAGGTGAAGAACCGGGCCGGGGAAAAAAAAGGAAGAGAACAAAAACTGGGGCGGCACCTGGCTGGGAGGCCGTCCCAGGGTAAATAAGCGGCCGCGGGGCCGCTGGGGCCAGTTAAAACAAGCGGTCCGCATTGCCTTGCTTGCTTGCTTGCTTGCTGGCTGGCTGGCTGGCTGGCTGGCTTGCTCGCTTGCTTGCTTGCTTGGCACCTGGCAGCCATGTCAGCCTCTGTCGATGCGGAGTTCATACCTTCTTCGCCCCAAGCGTGTCCTGAAGCGCGTCCTGACACTCCGGCAGTGGCCATGCGAGATGCGTTCACTACAGTCACGCTGGTCCGTTTGTTGGGGGAGACGTCACGCCGGGCTAGCGCGTGCCCGGCGCATCGCGCAACCCCCACTTGCGCGGTTGGCAACCTGGCGGCAATCGAGGGGGTTTCCTTTGCGCGGCTTTCGAAAGTCAGGCTTTTCTGAGGGCCTGCTCAGCTGGGCCCCTGCCAGCGACCCAGCCCAGCATGGCGCGAGGAGCTGTCACACAGCTTCGCGGCACTGCAAGCCAGCGCTGCACTGTCTCCCGTAGGTGCTTGTGCCCGCTCAGACCAGGGCCCAGCAGCGAGCCACTCGCCTGGGACGAGTGCTTGTGGGGCCTGCGGTGGGCCAAGCAGCGGCTACAGCGAGCCCGTCCCCCGGTGCCGGCGTCTGTGGTGGCTGAACTCAGGAAGCTCCAGCCGCAGTGGGGCAAAGCAGCTGTAATGTTGCGCCGGCTGTGCAGCAAGATGCGGATGCTTGAGGAGGTTGTCAAAGCGGTGGAGATCCCGTTGCCAAGCGCAGTGCTGTGCAAAGAGCGGGGGCCGGACCCGGCATCGTTTTCAGCAGTGCCAGCAAGGCTTATGATCGACGCCCTGGTGGCCGAGGATGCTCTGCAGAGTGGGCAAGGTTTCTGCCGCGTTCCTGCTGAACGTCAAAATTTAAGCACAATCCAACTACGTCATTGTTACACGGCATGGCCCAACCAGACCACTGCAGGTCACACGGGGCACGCCGCAAGGTTTGAGGTCTTCCCCCCGAGCTGTCCAAAGGAGCCTGTGACGAGCTTTGCGGGAAGCGAGCCAAGGCTGCTTTGCTACCGCGCATGAGGCGGGTTGTTGCTACTGCAGCATACGCCGATGACGCAGCGCCTCCATAACCCGCCTGCTGCGAGGCTGCTCCCGGATGGCGTGACTGTTGCTGCTTGGGATTTCTGGCACGGAGCGGGGTGTAGCGCCAAGTTACCCAGATGTCAGCCCCATGATGTGGAGAGCGCGGGACCTTGCTGGCTGGACAAGCATATCAACCATGCGCCGCTTGTCCGGATGCTGCGGCCTTTGCGTACGCACCCAGCTACCTGGCAGCGGGCTATGCGCAAACTGGCTGGGCCGCGGCTCTGCGGCAATCGTTGCGGGATTGGCAAACAAAGCCCCCCTGTAATCGGGGGTCCGGCAGAAAGCCACGGACGGTGGCTCGCAAGGGCAGTAGCGACGGGTTCACCGGCGCCAGGCGCAAGCTCAACGTCGGAAGTTTCTGCCGGGGCTGGCTGTGACAACGTGGGCTGGACAGGAACCGGGTCCTGTAACTGTAAGGCATGCCAGTCGATGCCCAATCGGCAGCCAAGGGCCGAGCTCCGCACCAAACCCGGCTGCCAACCTTGAGTCCGTAAGGAACTCAAACAACGCGTGGTCATGTGTTCGCGCGTAAGGTTCAATGCTTGCCGGAAGAGACGAAGCACGTGGCCGCGCCGCGGGGAACAGCAGAAAAGGAGTACAAGCCAAGAAGCTTGCAAGTCCTCCGAGCCCTGGACACGACGCAGCTAAAAACGATGGTTGTCAGATAGCCTATTTGCAACAAATTCAAGGGACCCGGAAAGGCACGCGCAGGATTTTGTAAGTCGTAGAACATCTGCAGGCAAGGCCACACCCCCAACCCACGCCGAAGCATCGGCAGGGTCAAGTGCAAGGCGACCTGCCGGGAGCTGGCCAGCAGAATTCTATGCTCGCACTTTCCCATGGTTCACCTCGATACGGGCATGCCGACGCAACACCCGAAGCCAACAAATCAAACACCGCACGAACCCGGTGAGAAGGGACGCCAAGAGCTTCTCGCCGGGCGACAATGAAGCCTGAACTTCCGCCAACGCTGACCGCTGGGCAAGGGCGAACAACGCGGGCTGCGTGATCCCGCCCGTCGCCCTCCAGTTGTTGATTCCGCGGTTGACCCTGGCCTCCCTTCTTTCCAGCCACTTCGCGGGGTGTAAGTTCGTCGCACGGCCTTGCTTTCCAACTTGCGCCGCGCCAGGAAAGGCGATTCACCAAAGCTTTCGGGTTACAGTGCAGAAAATTGCCGTTTGCTCTTTGACGACGAAGCTAACACGTTACGTTTTGCTCCGCTTGCCGAGCTTGTGTCCCAATCTGCTGTGCCCCCCCGTCGTTAAGACGTTGTTGCCCGGACCCTTGCTCAACAGTCCATCAGTTCGCTCTCTCCGCGCGGGCCGGCGCCGACTCCGTTGTCCTCACTGCTGACCGAACTTGACCGAGATGCCACCATGCTCTCTGTTGATGGAGTTGGCGCTCCACACGTTCTCTTGCAATGCCATGCTGCGTGGCCTCAGAGAAGTTGAAGGGGGCGAACGAGTGCTTGCCGTTCGCCGCTTGTTTACAGCCAGCCGAGTCGTGGGCGCTGGCGAGTCAGCCGAGGAGCACCCGGAGAAAGTAGTTAGCGCAACACAATCCGGGGCGGAGTCCAGACAAAAATGTCAGAACCAAAACGACCCCGAGAGCGGTAAGCCAGCTCCAACCCAACAGAGCACGTCCAGCATCCCTTCGTGTCTCTCCCTCGTTGAGGCGCTAACCCGGTCCGGCCAACTATGGTGCAGACATCGAGCGGGCCCTTCTAGTATTTTCAATCTGCAGAACACTAAAAGTTAGATATTGCAAACGCAAACGCAAGGATTATGCATGGTCCAAGTGAGAATGAATGATTGTTTTGACAAGTTTCGTGGGGATATTATTGTTCTTGTTCTGGTTCTTGTCCTGGATCTGGTTCTGGTTCTTGTTGTTGTCGTTGTTGTTGACAGGGAGGGGGGAACGGATCCAATCCAGTGTCTCCAGCGAAAATCGCAGCACTTGGCAAATCAACTCGCCGCTTTTCGATGGGAGGAGCTGAAGTCACGGTGCTCAGCTTGGAGACAAGACACAAGGGGGCAGAGCGCCCCATCGCAGGAATCTGTTCAAAGTCGCTCGCCGGATGTTCAAAACTGGAAAAAACACGGCATCTTGCGGGTGAACCAGCTTGGCCTTGGTGTGTTCAGCGTCAGCTTGGCTCAACCGCCAGCGACAGACAAGTGATGGCGACATTTCGAAGCAACGCGCCTATGGCCAGCGAAACCTATAATATGTGGGTGTGGTTTCTTTATTTCAAAGACCGAACTCTTGCTTTGGGTCCATTTCCCGATCGGAACCTAAGGCCATGGAACTTCCCTGCTGGCCGGTACATCATCAAGGAGGGCGAGGCGCCAACCCGGCCCTCGTGTCTTTGGAGGGGTACTGGTACCCTAGGGAGGGGCTGAACGTACCTCAAGCGCAACTCCCATTGTCAACTTCTCTCAGAGCGCTGGCGCTCGAAGTAGCGAAAATGGCGCGGCCGCGGCTTTGCGCCTTCGATGAACGTTTCCCGCCTTTCATCAACTTGACACGGAATCGCCTCCAACAGTGTCGTCCCTGCTGACCCTGAGAGATTTTTGGTGTACATGTACCTGGTCCGGTGCGCATAAAACAAGCTCGAGTTTCCGACGAACTCGATACCATTGTGCGACGGCGGGTCAACAGCAGGTGCTACGCATGCATCCTAGAACATCCTAAATGCACACAGGCGCCGTCTCGCGTCAGGAGCTGGCGTGCCTGTCATGCGCGCCTGTCATGTGCCCCGCGTTTCATTCTTCGTCGACGGACGCATAGAGATCGGATTTGTGTTTGCTTGCCTGTGTCAGTGTCCACTGAGAAACACGCGTGTTTTTTCACTTGCGAGCCATGCATTTGCAGAGCGAATCGTAATGTACAGATCCACGTGCAAATTGGATTGGTCTGAATACTGGTGCTTTTTCTCCACATCTCCAAACGTAAGGGTCAGCAACTGATCAGGCCAATCACAAGCCTTGTGACATCCCCCATTGGGGGGGCACCGGTGCGCTGGGTGAAACGCACGGAAACGAAAAGCGGATCTGGGGTGTGCATGAATCAACAAAGTCCGTCAACATCTGTGTGGGGGGTTCATGAGATTGACTCGCCCGCAAAGCGTCTCGTGCAATCGAACGCTGGTGAAACGCTGGGATTCGGGTGATATGCTCTCATTGGCTCGCATGGCCAAGCTAACTTCTCCACTTTTTTGGGAGTGAAACCAGCGAGC